AATTTAATTATTTGTTGGCGGTTAGTTAAATATGATTCAAGCCATTTCAGGAGCCCTGACTTAATTCCAATTTTTTGCAGTTTAAAGAGTAGCATTGGTATGTCAATGCGGTCAAATGCCTTGCTAAAGTCTGTATAGAGAGCTTCTACGTGGTTTCCATTATCCATTGCATTCAATGAATAGTCTATAAATTCAAGTAAGTTGGTCGAGGTCGAACGACCCTTGAAAAAGCCGTGTTGCATGTCAGTAATTCTATTTTTGATTTGGAGAAATAATTTTTCGTTGATAATTGACTCGAAAAGCTTAGGAATGCAAGAGATAATGGCTATTCCACGATAATTACGTACGTCAGATTTTCGACCAGATTTAAAGATAGGTACTAGAAATGAGGTTTTCCAAATTTTAGGGAAGGTTCCGGATTCCAGGGACATATTAAAAAGCCAAAACAATGGAGCAGTGAGTTAGGGACATTTAGACCGATATCATGTCCCCTATGGGAAAAGATATTTATTTTTATTTTTTAGTAGCATGATATGATGACCCAATATCATACACACTTAGAAATACCTAATCTTACACGTGACGGAATCCATCTTTGACACAAAGGATGAGACGTAAACAAACATTTCATGTAAAATTAAGTGCTCCAAGACTGAAAAGGTCGAAAGTACGTTTGATTGAGCTGAATTTCGCGTCTATTATGACTCAAGTTTATGTCAAAATTGACGCTCGTATATGTCAGTCTCAGAGCACTCAAATTTACATCAAATTTTCTAAGTGTGTAGGCTCAATTTTTAAATAAGACTAAACTCCTTTATTGTATTGTTCATTACTCATACAACATTCATATTTCATTATGTACCAAATAACAAACAATGCTGGGATTGTGAGGGACCATTAAGGCACCCGATTGAAGCGATTTGAACGGGGAGACTGGTAATGTCAACTCCCTGTTGATAACATTTCGTGGATAAAGGGCGGGCTAATCTTCCCACTCATTGTGCTCGTCGTGCGATCATGTTGCTGGAAGGAGATTCTATCCTGTCCCGTAGATGCGTATAAGCTACTTTGCCTATCGATCCACCCAATCCGTTTTTAACCTGTCATACAGCGACATGTTGAGGACAACCAGAGGTTATTGAGCTTGATCATGACAAACAGAGAAGAGAGCCCACTGCTAACGGACTTAGTCTCCGAGCTACAATGGGTGATAAAACACTATCATGCATCATGCATCACGGATGATCGTTGTACAAGTAGTAATCGTGAAAAATATGATCTAGCAGTGAAACAAACCATGCACATTTTGATCAAATTTTATAATCGCGTATCTAGATGGTAAATAGATGAAAATCAGGTTGAGCCTCGTTGTTGAGTTGATCGAAAAACCATTGACATTCATTGTTAAGGCGGTTGGAAATACGTTATGAAGCTAGTCTCGACTGATGAAAAGACTCAGTAATTGCAGTTTTAGAGTCCTTCCTTAAACTAGCCAGCGAAATCTTGTAAAATAATTACTCCTTCCGGAGGAACTTCAATATGTCGCCGACTTCTGTCTTGGCTTCCATAGCTCTCGCTAGCTGTTATTTTCTAACCATTTCTTACGTTAACAGGTATGCATTACCTTTATCCGTTAGTATGTAATCTATGTAATCCTAAAGCACGACAAAATAGTTTTTACAAATACATCAGAAATCATCCACCACAATCATCATGATCTGCATGGACTATTGTGAAATTTGGCTGATAAACATAAAATCACGCCACATCAGGGAACTTCTTAGAAGTCAAGAGCCATTCATTTGATTTCAGAGAACATCATAGAATCAAGAAAATCAGGGACTGTTATAGAACTTCAAGGAACTTCATAGAGCTCCAGGATACTTCGTAGAATTTTTGACAACTTCGTGAAAGTTTAGGGAACTACGTTTAAATTATGGATTTTTTTTTAGAATTGCAGCAAATAGGAGTTCAGTCTGAGAATGCTCAGCGAACTTTGTACAACTTCAGTGAACTTCGTAGAAGTGCAGAGAAGTTTGTTGAACTTCGGCAACATTTATAGAAAGTTTGCAAACTTAACTGAAATTTCGAGAATCTTGTAGAAACTCGGAGAACTTCGTTGATGTTCAGGGGACAGCGTAGCAATTCAGGAAATTTAAGAGAAATTCACAGATCTTCAGAGAATTTCGTATGAATTCAGATAGTTTTGTTGAAATTCGGGAAAACTTCATAGAAGTGGGAACTTCTGTTTGGGGAACTTTGTTGAATTTAAACTATCGATAATCTTAAAAGTTTAAGAAACTTTATAATAGTTCAGTGAACTTTGTAGAAGTTTACTACAGGGAATTTGGTAAACGATCAGCAAAATTCGAAAATTTTTGGCAAACTCTCTAGAAGTTCGGTAAAATTTGTAGATGTTCAGGAAGTTTCGTAGAAGATCAGGAAACTGTGTAGCTTTGGAGGCTTTGTTTCGCCAATATGTTCCGGAAAATTCCTAGACAAGGTTCAGGTTCTTTCCGGAAGTCGAGAGAAATTGATGGATGTTATGATATCGAAAAAACAATTATGAATCTTAATAAGTTCAGAGAACTTTGTAGAAGCTCAGATTTTTTTAAGGTAAGAGGACTTTGTGGGGGCGACCCCGGCGTAGTGGTTAACATCCATACCTCTCACGCCAAAGTCACGAGTTCAAATCTCACCACAAGCCACGAATGACCCAAGAGTGTTAAAGTGACTATAATTAAAAAAAACATAAATAAATAGGGGAACTTTGCAGATGATTACGGAACATTGTATGAATTATTTTAAATTCGTACAAGTTCAGCAAGCTTTGCACAAATTCAGTTGTAGCTATGAAAAAAATAAAAGTTTTAACTATGGAAAAATCTTTGAAGTACTGGGAACTTCATAGAAGTTTTGAGTTCATGAAACTGAGTTTAAGTTAAAGAAAACTTCTTGAAAGTACAGCAATCTTCGTATAAGTTCAGGATGCGTCGTGAAAAGTTAGATAGCTTTGTTGATATTCACGGATTTTCGATGAGATATCAATAAAGTTCTTTGGATATTATTTAAGGCTTTTCAAGTTAATCAAGTAATCTTCTGAAAATCTGCAACTGTTCAAATTCAAATCACGTCTTTCAGACATTCTACGAAGACGGAAGTTTTATTAGAGAGTATTTAAAGGATATACAGCTGGTCGGAGAGTAAAGGCCTCTGAATATTTTTCAAGACTCTAGGTTGATCAATTATTATTTTTAAGATATTCATCCGTCCATAACATTCAAATAACATCTTCAGATAGTCTCTCAAGATTGCTGGTTGATCAGATATTAGTGAATTCAGGTTGATCAGGAAATCTGAAGATCTGGTCAAACATTCAATTGGCTCTCTCAAGATGGCAGATCGGTCAGGAAATACTTAAAAGATTTCCAGCTGATCGAAGATTTCAATAAAGTTCTCTGGATATTTTTCAAGGCTTCAGGTTAATCAAGTATTATTCGGAGTTGGTTGGAAATGCTAACATGAAGCTTTAGTGTGATAATTTATTAGATAGAGAATGATCTTTAGAAGAGAGTAGGTGGATAGTTCCGTTAGAGTACGGCAGTATGAATTTGAATAGAAGTTGAAAATGAGCGAAGGGCCATTAATGCGACAGTTTTTAAAGATAGACGTACATCTTTGCCTAACCCGTACGATGTACGCGGGGACTTGAAGTATGTCTCCAAGTCCACAGGCAAAAATGTGCGTCCCCCTTTTTGCTCATAAACTGACTGCGGCTGTGGAATAGTTCTAGCGACGTTTTCATCACTACCTAAAGCCCCACGTTGCGAGAGCATTTCCAGTCGATGGTGTGTTATAATGCAATTATTGAAGTATTATTGTGAAGGTATTCTCCCGGACGTATTCAAAGATCTCCAGCTAATCGAAGCATTCATTGAAGTCATGTCATGTGAAAGCCACTTGAATAGGAGCAAGTTTTATTCTGAAATATTCGATTTCGGTTACATTATTCATATTCGGTATATTCAGGAAGGAGCTTAAAATATGAAGTCTAAAACATAATTAATTGATCAGAAAACTTTATATGACAGCTTTAAATTTAAAAAAAATCCATCGGAAGCAAGCTTCCGCATGTCTTCAAAATGTCTGCATAAAAAAATACCTTCACCGAATTTTAAATGCCTTCAAAATGAAGATATGTCTTCAAATCTGGTTTCCCTAGTATTGAAGAAATCTCCTTTTATTGAAATAATTCTTCGACCATTAAAACAATTGACTATCTTTATTCACTTCCCCCTTTCGATTAGAAGTGACGTTTTGCAATTTTTTTTTCGTAAGATCCAAAATGGCCGAATTTTAGCAAAAACGTGGTTCATAACAAATATTTATGCAAAGTTTCATGAAAATCTGAGAAGGTCGAGTATGAGATTCATTTTTTTTTGCTATTTGGCCTGGAAATGCTCAGCTCCTCTCGTTGAGAGCTGATTTGGTGTAGTGGATCAGAATCGGTCTCTAGATTCTGACGTTCCGGATTCAATACTGCTGGCAAGATTGCTTATGTTTGTTCTTAATTTCATGTTTGAATGAATGCATGCATACATGTGGGCGAATATTGAAAAAATAGATGTGAATTATTTCAACGTCAATGTATTGTAAAAATTACCAAGATCTTACATTTAATTGTCTTTTTAACATATAAATTTTGAAGATGTCCCGGGGACTTAGGCAGAAATCGATGGAAAACTAAATAATTCGAAATCAATTTCGGGATCTTCTTCGAAAATCTTCGACAAAATCGAAATATAGTTACTTGTAAAAATTTAATACAATTATTTAATGACTCTATTATGGTTTCAAAGTGGCCCCCACTCACGGTCATATAGCCAGCGAAAGTAGATTAGAGAGATAGGATGGTTAAGTGGACAGAATCTTCTAAAATGCTTCGCCATCGTGAAAAAATGGTGTGAAAATTAATTCTTCTAATGAAACCACAAGCTTACCTTATCACCACTGGAGTAGAAGAAATATTTTAGTTTAACAATATTACAGTGTTCTAGCCGTCGCATTATCTGTAGCTCTCGGTTCTGAAAGAAGAAAAAGAAGAGGAAAGAAAATTAAATTAAGTTTCCTTTGGTTAGAAATCAGAAATCAAGCCATCAGTCAATCAATCATCCCATCAATCAGCCCAGAGGTCACATAAATTACACAATACTAACTAACTTAAACCGATTGGGAACGTGCCACGTGCCGGGAGGGCTATTTCCGTCTTATTCCATTTTCCTTCGATGCAATAGGAAAAGAAAATTGGCCTCATTTTGCCTCTCCGTTAAGGATATTGAATAATTAATTAAATGTTGTGTACCATCGCTTCAACCACGATACTTTCGGTAAATAATTTTGGCCCCCCTGGAACACGGTCGATGAACCCACGGCCCACCATCATCGTCTTCATCATGAAAATAAGGCGCAGTATGCAGCGCCGCAAGGCACCAATAATGTTTAAGGATAGTAAATATGATATCTTTATAATCTACCAAGCGGAAGAAAGGAAGTAGCAAGCTTCCACCCTTTTCCATTCCCATCGGCAAGAGATTCGGGGTGGAAGCCAAGATGTCCACAGCGGAAAAGCTTTATCGATTTTCCCAAATGTACAAGGTGGCCTACACGAGGCTGTATGTATATCTTCGGGAAAGTTAAATTCCCAATAACATTACAAATCCTACAAATCACCGTTGACGGTTCCGGCTTTATTCTATTCTGGGGATGGTTTTCCATCCTGAAGCTTTGGTGTACTTCCGAAAGATTTCGTTGTCTGAAGTAATATACTTAGCTACAAGCTCACGTGCGTGTGCAAAATGTCCTCGAAAGGAAAGCATTTAACAGCGATTATGCCAGAATTTTACCATTCTATTCTATTTGGACCACTTCTTCTGAATTCCCAATTCAAAGACACTTAGATCTATAGTGAAACTTCGATTTTTCCAACGATCAGAATCAGATCAACCACTTTCCATCCCCGAAAAATCCTCAAGTGGCCCGGGATTCGCCTGCAGCATGCTCACGCGCCTACACTGGTTGGTTATAGCAAAGACATCATATCAACAAGACTGGCAACTTTGCGCGCTGCGATTGACCCATAGAAAAAATGAGCACATAGGTAAACCTCTCTTCTGCGGTTGAAATCTTTGCTATCCCAATTCGTTCGAAGCATTTACCATTGAGCGATAGATGACGCTATTGTGTCTAGTTCATAGCGGGGTCATACGAGAAAACTGAATGGTTGCCTCTCTTCTTGATGTGTTGTCTTCGGTTATAGGCAATTCAAAGGGATATTTTTAACTTTCGGAAAACCGAAATACGCCATGGGATCCCACGCGTATTCTTTTGGTTGAAAGTTTATGCTGACTTCATTCGGCAGCATTCCGCTACTCAACTTGATTGGAAGAGTAAATATGTGTCGCCTCCTGATTTATTCAGATTTCAAGCGTGGGACGTTATGAAATATGAAAATAACCCACAATTCGGTTTCCATTTTTTTTTCAGTGCGATTCCTTTTGTCCAATTGGGCGAGGTTTTTTTTTGTCACTTTACAAAGGACAGAACAGTAGTGTAAATAATTGCTTTCGGCTTTGTCGGACGATGAATGAAGTCCGACAAAAAGCTTTGAAGCTTTGTATGGCTTTTGCGGATCAATGACCAAACAACCGTCACGCCAGACAATTACTAATGGACAAATTTAATTAAGTGCTGTTTGATCTTCGATGAATTGGCAACCGGCGGAGACACATGATTGAGTCCTTTTAATTGGAATTGATTTTCCGATGGATCGATGCAAAAATTGAAGCCGGAAGAAGTAAAACTTTCAAGACAACATCGAGAGGATACTTTCGCAAAGTTGTTTTCCTTTTGTCCTTGAGTGTGGAAACTTATTCCGTCAGCTGCTGCAAGCGACAAACTTGAGTCATAAAAACTGAAAACTGCTTGGGAGCGGTCAACTTTTTTATTGCGATTACGACGTCGTCTGTTACAAACATTTTCTCAACCGCTCAGCTGATGAAACATGTTGGGAAAATTATTTACGGTTGTTTGGAGTTTATTGTCAGTTAATTGAAAATCCCACTGCCAAAATTAATACTGTGTTAAATATTTGCGGTTTGACATTTAACTGTTCTGCCCATTAAAGTGAAATGAGTTATCCATTAGAATAGATTGTTAACTACCGGCAAGTTACATGTGCTGTTAAGATACTATCGTGAAAAATACCAAATCTAGGTTGTCCTACCCATAAAAGCCAACTGAGAAATACATTTTCAACAGTCTTTTTCTCGGCTTGCTGTTTTTTTTCCATATGGGACAGGTATGCTTTTATAGGCAGTGCTGTTGATATATGTGCAGTTAGGATGTAGCACTTCCCACAAAGATCAAGTGTGGTCATAATGTTGTAGAATATTTCACTTGCTAAATGTCAGCTAGTATACTAAATCAACAATATATGTAGCCCCTTGCTTTTCAAAACATTACACAAGCTGTTCGACACACCATCTAGCGTTACCGACAAACATTCAATGACAGTCGAGGGGTGCGTGAACAGCATTTTCTTTATTTAAATGCAGTTTTATTATTTTTTTTATAATCAGTGAAATAAATTGTGCACATGGTTCAAACTTGTAGACATACTCTTTAGGGTGGTTCAATATATGGATTTTGCGCCATCCCACTCAATCGATTTCAGATCAGGTCCTGATCATTCACCCAACATTGGAGGTCATTTGGATGCGAAATCGTACTGCACTGGCTCTTTGAATTTTATATGGGAATTACTTTTTGTATTCATCGTCGCAGCCCTTCGCCATAATGATGTACGGAAAAGTTTGCTATCTGTACTTATGTGAAATTTTTCCAGCTGTAGACCACATTTCAATTGGAAGTCAGGATAATTAGTTATTAATTAATGTCCAAGTCGCTGATATTACTGATATGCATAGTTGAAGATGCTAATTCGAATAACAGACTAGAGTGGCGGGGGCAGTTACCCCTCACCATCCCTCTCCAACGAGGGAGTTTGTGGTAAAGAGAGATGATCAAACCGATTTGTACCTTCATTCATAAAAATTGTCCTTGCTCGCTTTCTACTCCCTATATATATATACAGGGTGTTTGGTTCCGGGTTTTACATATTTTCAGGGTAGATAGGGCTCCTAAAGTTATGAAAAAATCCCCATGAAACATAGGGTCGGAAATGACTGCTAAGTGAGTTATTCAACATTTTATGTTTTTTTGTATTGCCAACTTTGGTTAGCTATATTTTTTTAATCTTAATGTGGTTTTCTGATTTCAACATGCCAAATGAAAGATTAAAGTCTTAGCTATCAATGCTTTTAAGAAAAGAACTCGATTAAAGTTAATTATCATACATTAAAATTGAAAAGTATGTTGAAAGTACCGAAAAAACTGGTGAAATTTCATACATTTTAGTGTTTTTAAGTTGAAAATTTTCATTTCTGTTTATTTAGTTGTTCTACAAAACATTTTCCATGCAGTTCCCTAGATTTGTGCCTTTGGTAGTAACCTTGTAGGCTTTATGGTTTCTTCGTAATTATTGATTTAAAATAGCCAGAAAAACTTGTGACGTTTTCTTAAAATGCGCTATAGTCACCCTATTCGTTCGTACGTTCGGCTGTTGCAGTGGACTACGCACATGAAAATTTGGTAGAATGTTATTGTAAATGTTTAGCTACATTTTTAACTTTTGATTACCGCACATCTCCTGCGCCGAAAGAAAACATAACTGCGGAGATGTTTCGCGGTATCGAATATTGCTCAGTCTCAGCAGAAAACACAACGAGAGACACCGAATCGGCGAATTCTGAGAGCGGAAGGGAGAGAAGTAGGTAGGTGGTAATAAGTCGATGTCCTTTTTATTTCATAGCACTCGCAGCTCAGCTGCGGTGCTGTTTCGATGGAGGAGTGTGGAGCTCCGCTGCTTCTGTATACACACTTAGATTTTTTTACTGGAGTTAATATTTTTACTGGATTTTTGGATTACTGACTCGGTTAAAATTCAAATAACTGTTATTCGTAAGGATTGGATAAAACCGAAAAATTTTATTTTTCATCATTACACGGGGTTAACAGAAGTTAGTCTGTAAATTTTCGTAACACATTTTCTCAACTTTGAATTTTTCACAGATTTTTTTTAAATTTTACCAAAGAGTTCCGCAATTCAAAAACTCGGTAAAAATTACTGACTCGATAGGGTAGGGTAATTGATTCTAGTTGGACCTATCCAAAAACTGATGATGGTTGGACCTATTTTTTCAATCGCTAGTTTAGTCAATCTCCGCTAATTTTTTATTTTCAAAGTTCAATTCACTATCATAAAAAAACTCTTTTTCTTCAATTTGCATGGGTGTTTTATTGAAAAAACTTCAAAACAGTTGAGTTTCAATGTGTTTTCAAAACAGTTCACTTTCCACGCATTAGCTCGTCATCATGCCTTATTTTCAAACATACAAAAAAGGAATATTTTTTACATTTATTTTTATTTTCATGCAGTAAAATACTGCTTTAAGGTGTAAAAAACACGTTAGTTCGCCATTTATCCATTGGTTTCACTAAAATGTTTGAATAATTGACGAAATTCGAATAGATAAATATGATCATGGTTGGACCTACGCATGATGAATCATTGATCGTATCACCTTAAGAACTCAGTATGTTCCATTCCCAGGTTGGAAATTTTCTCAACTTCCCTGGGCATAGAGTATCACTGTGCTTGTAAAAATACAAATGCATACATTGGTTGACATAGAAAGCTTTCAATTAATTACTGTGACTGAGTTCTTAAGGCATACTGAGCTCTTAAGGTGGTATGGTTCAGCGTCCACAAATCAAAGGCACTTTCACTGCCACTTCGAGTTTTCTAGGGAGTTAATCTCGGGCACTATTGCGATTTGAGGCACTAAATTGTCATCATAGTTTTGTTATTGTATGTTTTCCAGTAGCAGATCATGGACTCCTGGAAAAAGCGAAGTGGAACCAGAGCCCGAAGTTCTGGATCGTATCACCTTAAAACAATTTCTAT